CTTTTCTTTTCTTTTCTTTTCTTTTCTTTTCTTTCTTTTCTCTAATAATTTATTTACACATATCATTTAGTTAACAAAACTATAAAGGGAGAAATCATATTTCATAATTAGATTAATTAAATATTTAAAGTGCAAAATATAAAGATATTTGGATCCCTTTACTCTGTCCCCTTTTTGGCCCCCTACTGTTTGTTTTAAAAGTATTTAAATCACTTCTAATTGATATACTTTGCTATTTATAATTTTTAATGACAGTTGAAATTTTAAGATTGTGGTTATAGTCTTTGGTGTTTAAAAGTATTACACTGACATACTTTGTATTGTCCTGTGATATTTACCTATGGTTCCAGAATTATACTAACATTTCTTCTGTAATATTTTTAAATTCCTTACTTCCTTCTTTATGGCATTGTTCCTGGTCACTGATAACATGGCACCTTTATTCTTCCAGGAAAACGGTGTATATACAATAGCAAAATTAATTTTACCAAACAAACAAAAGAACGCAGCAAAAACTAATCTATTACAGGTAATAAACATGTCCATTGTTCCTTAATATCAAGTTACTGAAATCTGGGGAGATTTTGATAATATAATCTATAGTTTTTTAGAATTTTTAGCCCCTGTACTGACCATGAGGGAAAAATAACCACGAGGGAGGCTGGCATGAAAACAGATGTTATTAAAACAATGTAAAAGGCTTAACAGTGGCTTCTCTGCAGGGAATTAGGTGATTTTATTTGGATAGTTCTTTGCTTATCAGTAAGTTCTGTTTTTTTAAAAAAAACACAGCTTATGTATCAGAAAATAATGAGGAAATTATATACCATCTTTAAGCTCGGGCCACAGTCACTAACATTCCACCTTCACAAAGCTATTCTGTCAGAGGCATCTTGATGGTGGGGGGGGGTCCTGGCCAGGTGGATAGAGGGATAGAAGTGAGCACCAGTGACATCTGCCACAGCAGGAAAGGCGTCCACACGGGGAACGGCACGCGCGAAGCGTGGGAGGCTGGCGGCTCGGAGGGGCCGGGTGTGTGGGTGCGTTGGGAGTGCCTTAGGAGATGAGGCCTGGAAGGTAAGAAGCGGGCACGTTATGCAGGGTCCTGTGTGCTTTCTCAAGGAGTGGGCATCAGGGGGCCAGTGTTCCCCAAGACCACTAGAGTGATAAAATCAGACTTAAGCCTTTTCAGTAGGTGCATTTCATCCTTGTTTTCATGTCATCAGAAAAGAAAGTAAGAAACAGCCTTTGCCTTTAGTGTGATTTAAGAGCTGACCCAGAAAGCTGGGCAGACCAGGCAGAAGGTGTTTGCTGGTGTCTGTGGGCTGGCAGGCAGAGGCTTTGAAGGGCTACCAGTGAGATCGTACAGGAGTGGGACTCAGTTTCCCTGGCGTGGCACAGATGCATGGCGCTGCACTGGAGCACAGACGAAGTCCGGTCCATCCTGCAGATGTGTTTGTTAAGCCTGCGGAGGTTTTTACAGATTTATGTGGAAATTCTTCCAAGGCACACGCATGCTCCCCACTGCTGCATGTCGTGGCTTCTCCAGGCGGTTTTACGTGTGACCCTGGTGTGGTCAGATCACTAATTTTATGAAATGATTCCAGATCCAAATGCAGGAGGCCCTGATGGCCCGTGCTCGCCGGCTGGGTGGGGGCTCACTCTCTGGTCTCAGCTCTGCAAATGCCAGGTGTTTGTTTTCCTTTGTCTCCCAGGCCTCTCTCTGAGTGTTCTGGGGAGTGACTGGAGAGTGTTCTATTTGGGGAAACGCTTTAAGACTTTACTCAAGAGACCAATTTGTCAAGTTTGAGTCCAGTGTGCTTGTGGCTATTTTTATATGTCATCATTTCTAGTGTTTATTTTCTCACAGAAACCATGTCAATATTGAGAAATACACAGCAGGCTAGAATCAAAACAAACCTCGAGCTCCTGGAAATCTTAGGACGTTCAGTTTTCTCAGCAGAGGAGTTTTATTTCTTGTCTCTGTTCCTTGTGTACTTTCTGGCAAGGAGCTAATGACGGGCACTGAGTGAAGCAAGGCCCAGAACCCTGCCTTCCACAACACAAATGCTTTTTAAACATGAGAACCAGCCCAGGTGCTGTTGTATTTTGTTTTCAGTTGCAAGATCTGGCTCCCATGCGGACCAGCCACACTCAAGTAAACCCACGTTAATGTTCACTTCATGATAGTCTGTCCTGAAAATATTTTACTTTGTTGGACTACAATCTGAGACTCACACATCCTTTTTATTTTCCAGTGTTACGCATTCAGAGCCTTGAGATTTCTCTTCAGTATGGAAAGAAACAGACCCCTCTTTAAAAGGTATGAGCTTAGAAAAATTTAAGTCACCAATGATCATCGGATTCAGCTGTTCACACATAGCTGCTTTAGCTGCCAACAGTGAGAAAGAATCAGGATGCAAAACATGTGTCTTCAGATTTTTAAAAATCACTGATAAAAAGACCCTGAGTGGTCCTAGTGATGTTTGAACACTGACAATTCACAAAATATGAGGAAAGCACAGATATCACTGTATCAGGACAACTCTTGTAATTACATGTGACCGCTGTGATTTTTCAGTTTTCTCTCTCTCTCTCTTTTTTTTTTTTAAAGACATTAACATTTTAAATGGATGAAATAAAACTGTGTGCCTGTTTTGGCCCATTCAGAGAGGACCAGAGTTGACCTGGTCATTTCCTTTTAGTCAATAGAAAGGAAGTGTTTGTCTGGGTGTCCTTCGCAGGGTGGGAACTCATGTGAAGGGGAGGCGGCTGGATGTTCCCGAATCAGAAGGCCGTGTGGTGAGCAGGACAGAGAACCCGCCACCCTGGGAGGCAGACACTGGTTTCCCACAGGTGTGTCTGCACGCCACTGAGACAGAGGTGGCCAGCTTAGCTGCAGGCGTAGGCCCGAGTTCTTACTGGAAGGTTACTGGTGAGGCAGGATGGAAAGAACACCTGGAGTTAATACAACATCTTTTGTCCAGAAGCGTGGGATATTTTATGTTTTTACTTTTATTTCTACGTGACACTTGAATTTAGGGGAAGAAAAGGAAGTAAAATTAGTTATTCATTATAACCTTTCATTTTAAGGCCCCAAATCATCCATTTCAGTGGATTCAAAGATTTTAATAAATCTTTGAAGCCAGTACCTTGGAAATGATGCAGAATCTCTTCATTTTTTTTTCTTCACCTGTATTTTAATTTTATTTTCATAAAACATTCAAAGTTAGGTTAGTGTTTACTTTCTAGGGTTAATATAAGGACTAAATCAAATGGCATTTGTGAAAATGCCCCAGGCTCAATAAACACCCAGTAAACATTCATTCCTACTGTGTTTAATACTGCACCCCTGATTGTCTTACAAATAAGGTTTCTGTAAAAATCTGTGTCATATCTTTTTTTTCCCTGTCGTGGCAAAAAGCACATAACATGAGAGCTACCCTCTTAGCGGAGTTCTAAGTGTGTAGCACAGTGTCCTTAACCGTAAGCACAGTGTCGTATAGCAGGTCTCTAGAACTTTCCTTCCCAGTCATTTTCCTTACCCTTTAAGAACTGTAGCTGTAGTTTACGTTTGCGAGGTAAGTCAGTGAGGGTTATTTTCCCCTACTTGTTGGATAGTGTATGTAACGTAACTAACCTGTGAGTGAACTGGGTCCAAAAGGGGAGAAACAGGCCCCAGTTTCCAAGTCCTACTTGACGCATGTATGTGTGTTTTTCTATGTAGACTTTTCCCCACCGACTTGTTTGAGATCTTCATTGATATTGGACATTACGTTCGTGATATCGCTGCTTACGAAGAATTGGTATCAAAGTTGAATTTATTAGTGGTGAGTCTTGAGTTTTAAATACTTCGGCAGGCTGCTCTGTGGTCAGGATGGATTTATCATAGCAACCCATTCCCTTTTATTTTTTGGTTAGGAGGATGAACTGAGGCAAATTGCTGAGAATATCGAAAGCATTAATCAGAATAAAGCTCCTTCGAAATATATAGGCAACTACGCAATTTTGGATCATCTTGGAAGTGGAGCTTTTGGTTGCGTTTACAAGGTGACTTTGCCCTTGACCAACATTTTGGATAGTCCCAAAAAATCCAGGGTCCCCCTCATGCACCCACACGCAAGTGAATTCGAGCCCTCGTCAAGTGAACAAAGATACAAAAATCAGAATGATTGGTTTTGTCCAACAGATGGTTGCACTGATGTTGTCTTATCTTAGCTCTCAGCTCTAGAAACTGATCACTGACCTTGAAAGATAAAAGCTATCATTAGTTTTTCATAAAAGTAGTCAAAATGGCTTGTCCATTCTCTTAAATTTACACCAGTGTTTCTCTATTTCCCAGTAAAATCTTAACTAAGTATTGCAGACTGATCTAGGAGATACCAATGTTTTGAGCTGATCTCAGTGTAGATAGAAAGTGAATTTTTCAAAATATGTGACTGATTTAGATGACTTGGATTAATCATGTGACTTTATTAATCTAATCGCTTTCTTCCTCTCTCTACCCCCAACCCGTTCATTTTTTTTATCTTCTTTATTTTAGGTTAGAAAGCGTAGTGGTCAAAATCTTTTAGCAATGAAAGAGGTCAATTTACATAACCCAGCGTTTGGAAAGGATAAAAAAGATCGGGACAGCAGTGTAAGGAATATTGTTTCTGAATTAACCATAATTAAAGAGCAGGTAAATGTTTTTGTTCATGAAGATGATTTCCTTAAATAAATGTCATCAAAAGAAAGTAGAGTTCTTGTGCTATTCTCGTCCCTGTGTACGAACTGGTTGTGTTTAAAACAATTGACCTTGAGGTGATGTCAGTTACCAGGTTTTCTCCTAAGGCTTAACATTGAACCCCAGAAAGTTTCCGGAGTTGTGTCAGGGCCAGGGATGCAGACAGCTGAGTTTACAGCCCAGAGAGTATCATTTATGAGAAGTCCTTCTCTTTCCATTGTAAGCACACCCGTTCCCTTCTGATTATATTGTAGAATATTTGGTTACTTAGTTAGATGTATAAGAGCATGACTAAGACTTCCCTGACTTTTGTCACGTGGAACCAAGGTGTTAACATTCCTCAGATCTGGCTTACTTAATACAAACTGTGGATTTTCAAGGTGGGTTATTTACTGGCATGAACGAAATATTCTAACATAATGTAACAACTCAACTATCATTTTGAAGAGTTGTTTCGGAAGAAAGAATAAACATGTCAGAAGAGAAATGGAATTTGCTTTTGTGATCAAAGAGCACGTCGGTTTCTTCTTCAGCTTTTCTTGTTTGTACGTTCATTACGAATTCTGTTCACCTGTCTCTCCTGTGGAGGCCCGTCAGTCCCTGGCTCTTTGTTTTCCACTAGTTAAGTCTGCATAGTATCTGTGCTGCGACATAAAGAACACCATACATATGATCTTTATTCATTGAAATCTACAGTTCTACTCCAATTTATAATTTAAAGTACATATCATTAATAGATTGCTTCCTAGTTGACTTTTATGTACAAATAGATTAGATTTTTAAAAGTTCGTGTCTGCTTGTGTTCTGATCATTGAGCCTTTGACAGCGTGATGTTTCACTACAGCCCAAGGCGAGAGCTTGGTTTTTGCTCTAAGCTGATCTAGTGTCTTCATCTGAACCCAAATCTGGATATAGCCCTGGCCAGGGAGCTGGGTCTAGAATGTGATTCTGTTGCTTACCTGGTCCCATATTGTTTAAAATCCGTTGACCACTTACTCACTGATGAGGTAGCTATTGGTTTTAGTCTGTCTTCTAAGGAAAGAAAAGTGTCAGGGTGGGGCCTCAGAAGAGGCCTCTGCTCGAACTTTGAGAAAGTTCAAAATTGTAGCACTGTCCTCTCGCCGTGGACTTTAGCCCACGGAAAGGATAGGCGAAGTCTAAAAGGAGGAGGTAATGGCAGACAGAAGGGACAGAAATGGGACTAGGATGAGAGGGTCGGGCGTGTCAGTATTAAGGCGAGGCTGCAGTAACAGAGAAGCTCTGCAGCTCGTGGGCCTGAAGGGGAGGCCTCATGGCTCAGCGAGGCCAGGCTGCGGGGCTCGGCTCCACGCGGCCCCACAGCGAGGCCCGTTCTTTCTGTCCCATTGCAGCCCACGTTTCTATCCCGGTGGGTGCGGCCAGTGTTCAGGGTTCACCCACAGGAGGACACATTTCCCCTCGCACTCTGTTGGGGAGAACTGAGTGGTGAGCTCACTTGAGGCTGCAAGAGAGGCTGAGAGATGTGGTCTGTGATGGGGAGGCCATGTCCCGCTGCAGCTCGGCTGTGGTGGAGGAGTGTGAGGGCAGATTTTTGGTAGACAGCTGGCAGACTCTCCTTCAAAATGGCTAGAGAGACAGACCAGAAAGAGATGCACTCCATTTACGGATGTACCAGTGACTATTCTCAGAAAAAGCAAATTTCAGTTTACTTAGAAACTCAAATTCTTAATAAACTACAAAAATTTAGTATTCTTGTGGAAAATTATTCCTTTTTTTAAAAAAATAGAATTTCCCCATTACATTCTGAGATAAACTATGTCAAAGAGAAACTGTTCTGGATACTTTTTTTGAGGTATAACTGACATACTAGCTTCAAATGTACAACATGCTGATTCAATATTTGTGTATATTGTGACATGATCACCACAGTTAAGTCTGGCTGACATCCACAGCCGCACGTAATTACATGCTTTTTCCTTGTGATGAGGACTTTCAGATGGCAAGGAAGACTTTATTCAGGACCATGCAATAGGAATCAAACTGTCGCAATAGAGGGGAGAGATTAAACTCAACTCTGAACAAAACAGGATAGCTGGAGATTTACAACCAAAAGGCAGGGCCGGAGGCGGGGCAGGGGGTGGAAGAATGGAAAATCACTAACAGGAATTTGGTTAGGTATCAGGTTAGGGTAAGAAAAACTAGATTAGATAACAAGGATGCAGGGGAGGGGGTTCTTAGAGCGTGACTGGGTATCAAGAGTGCGGAGATTCTCATTAAACTGGCTTAGCAGGATTCTTGCTAAATCCAGGCAGGCCAAGGAGACCTGGCGAGAGGAGGGCTCAGAGGAGCCTGACCTAGGTTTTTGTTCTGGGAGGGAGTGCTTGTCAACTATTATTATAATTTAAATGGTAAATGGAGTTCGTAACTCTTGGATTATTACAGTTTCACACTAGTCAGTTTGGAGAGCATAGAAAGACACCAAATAGACACAAACAGTGTATATAAATACTTAAGTAGCAGGGAGAGGTTAAGGGCATAGAAGTATTTGTTCAAAATTAATTGCTCTGTTTCAGTTTTCTCTGCAGTGTGTGTGTGGTTTTAGAACAGGGGTGGCTAAATGAATTCTTCAGATTCCTTCTAGTTCTGCAATCCTGTATTTCAATTAAAGTAGATGATAAAGCACAGTCAGTTTTTAATTCTGTTGGATGAGGCTATTCGGGCATTGCTATTTTCAGAACAGTTTTGTAAGCCGCAAATAAAAAAATCATGAAAAAATTAGATGTTATCTCGAAGTGCTTAGTTTTATAAATAAATATGGACATGATACTTTCTCTGTTGTTTTCAAATACGACGTCCAGCTAAATTGTCTGTGAAAACAAGCTTGTATTTTGAAGTAGTGTAATGTTTGTTACTGATTTTCTTACAGCTTTATCATCCCAACGTCGTACGCTATTACAAAACATTTCTGGAAAGTAAGTATGAGATTTCATGTTAAGGAAATGGTATCTATGTCACTTACATATTTTTATTTTTGAATGTTACAAAACAAGCTTAATCAACTGTTTTCTTTACTTTTTTGTTGTTTATGTTATAGTGTATGATGTTGTGCATCACGTTCTTAATAAATGAAACACCGATAATCAATGACAGAAAGATAGTTATAAGATACTTAGATTCCTGCGTGAGAGACTGCGTGAACAAACCAAAAGAGTAATTGTTGCCATTTTCATATACAAAAAGTCCTTAATAGGGTCAGGGGAAAAGAAAACTAAAGGAAAATTAAAAGTTGTTTTTATTGAATCAGATGACATTTTCCACCCCCCTCCCCCAATAAATTGGGCTGGGTTTTGGAGATTTTAAGTTCAGTTAATTGCCCCACGGTGGCGGTGGAGCCCTGACTGATTCTGCAGACAGGCAGGCTCCGCCTGTAGGATGATGGAATATGGAATCAAATGGTTGTGATAAATAGTCGGTCACTTGTTTAAAAAAAGTAGGACCTTTGTGAGGAGGGTATAGCTCAGTGGCAGAGTGCCCGCTTAGCATACATTGAGGTCCTGGGTTCAGTCCCCAGCACCTCCGTTAAAAAAAAAAAAAACCTAAAATTAAACCCAATTACTTCCTTCCTCCAAAAAAAAATTAAAAAATAATAAGTAAAAATTTTATAAAGTAGGACCTTTGAAGTAATATTGATAAGCCTTAATGCTGTGCCTCACATGTGAAATTTCAAAATAAATCTGCATTTGAAGGGGCTTCCCTAGCGCCTCTTTATCAGCGCTTTTGTTAGGCAAACTTGTTGTGTACTTTGGCAGGTTCTCTTTTACCCAGCTCCCTTCCTCTGGTTACTCAGAGGAACTCAGTGCTGAAACTCTCGAGTAAATCCTGTCCCCTTGGCCATTTGTTCTCGATAGTAGAATAATTTCCCATAATTTAGTGCATATCCCATCATAAGGAGCTCTAGATTGGCTGTGACTTGCGCTGAAGTGATACAACTTGTCTTGAAATTTAAAAACAAAATAACTCTTAATACCTTGGCTTCTCCCAAAAAGAATAAGAGGTGGCTTAAAAATAACCAAAGTATAATGAAATAGATTAGGAAATTGTGATAAAAAGAAGTAAAAGGTGATCAAATTAAAAATAAAGCTAG